TCCATCATAAAGTTGGGAAAAGAGAATAGGGTGAAATTTAACACTTCCTGGACAAGTCTGAAGAAGATAGCAAGAGTAGGTCTTGAAGCATGAGTGGGAATGTAACAAAAGAAGGAAGTAGAAACCGTAGTCTAGAGAAAGAGGATGGTATAGCTGAAGAAGGGAGCTGCTAAAACTGATCTACCATGGGGCTCTTACGTCCTCTTTCCTTATGTACCACCCCAAATTGGATCCCATTGTCTTCCCCTTGCTGAACTTGCTCTTGAGTAGGGTGGCATGTCAAGCATCTCTCTCAGGACTATTCTTTGATCTCTATCCCCCAGTGAGATAAGCAGCACTTGGGGTTTAATAAGAAGTGAAGAAAGGTAAAAGGAAAGAGTCCTCAATAGATCCCTGTGCTCCAGCCATGTCAGCCAGATCCAAAACAGAATATGGATCACTGGGAACCAGCAAAATTGCTATAACCTTAAAGTGTCAAATAATACAATTTTCTCTTTCCACATCAGTTTTGGTAGGTTAAAAAAAAATAACAGGTGATAATTTAGTCTGAGAGATAAGATGGTAGTACTGTAAAAGGGAGACTCTGACTCCATAATGGAAAGCAGGTGATTTTTAAAACTGGTCCCTCCAGCTGTCTGTGGTAGAGTTTGTAAAGAGTTAGAAACACCTGTGCATATACCTTTCTCTCACTTCTCCCCATTTCCCCTCAGACATCCTTCTTCTTTTTCTCCAGGACTTGGTGAAAGGCCCCCTTATTGCTTCTGTTTTCCTTCTGGGATTTTCTGCTGCCCTTGTCTTTACCATGGCAGTACACGTTATCTGGTGCTCTGCTTCCTGCCACCATCACTAGCCTCTCAGTTGCCTGAGAGGCTAATAGCTAGATACCATGTGCTATGGCTTGAATATGGTCCGTCCCATCTGAAACCTGATCACCACTGTGACAGTGTTAGGAAATGGGGCCTGTAAGTGGCAATTGGGTCATTAAGAGAGATTAGTGCCCTTCTCCTGGGAGGTGGCACTAGTTGTTATGAAGTAGGTCTGCCTCTTTTTAAGAAATGTGCATTTCCTCTTCCACACATGCCCACTTTCCCTTCTACTTTTCTATGCATGAGGCCCTTGCCAGAAACTGAGCAGCTGCTGATGCCAGACTCTTGGAGTTTCCAATCTCCAGAATTGTGAGCCCAAATCTCTAATCTTTACAAATCACCCATTCTCAGGTACTGTTGGGGATTGGTCCTTAGATCCCACCTCACCTAAAGATATCAGAATCTATGAATGCTCACATCCCTTACATAAAATGGCATAGTGTTTGCATAGAACTTATGTGCATCCTTGTACCTAACAATGTAAGTGCTATGTAAATAGTTGTTACGTTCTATTGTTTGGATAATAACAATTGTTTAGAGAATGTCAAGAAAAAAATCTGTACAGTTCAGTACAGATGCAGCTTTTCCCCCTAAATATTTCTATCAGTGATTGATTGACTCCAGGGATCCAAAACTTGTGGATATGAGGGCCACTGTATTCTTACAGCAACTGTGTACTGAATGCTACAGTTTTGGAAAGCATGGTTATTTCACATGAGAACAGAAGATTCATAGGTTCCTAAAAGGAGTGAGTGAGGGCACTTAGTTACTTTTCTCATTGCTGAGTCAAAATACCCAATTCCAAAAGTTAAAGGAGGAATGGTTCATTTTGGTTTTGTATAGGTTTGCAGAAGTTTCAGTTCATGGTTGGCTGGCTCCAAGCAGGGTGGCATGCTGAGGGACATCACAGAGGAGAAACAGTTCATGGTGGGCAGAAGGCAGCAAGCAGCAAAATAGTGAAGAAGTGGCAAGCAGCAAGCAACAGTAGCCCTCTTTTTGTCGCTTATATTCTATCCAGGATACCCACCCTTAGGGCAGGTAGCACTCACACCCAGGATGAGGCACCCTTAATCCTAGCTTCACACCAAAAATCAATCCCAGCATCACATCCTTAATTCCACATCACACCCTCTAGGTCCAGCCACCTCCAGAAAGCCCCCATCTATGACCATATGAGGCTTTGGGACATCTAGATACAATGACATAACATTAGTAAAGACAGTTTACTTTGAGCAATGAGGGTTGAGGTTAGATGGTAAAGTATGAACCTTCTTTTAAAAGGAATTGAACACTAAATAAACAATAAGTTTCCAACTATTTACCATATAAGGGCATTCTTCAGGTGTAAAAGAAAATATTTACTGTGTTCCCAACCTTGGGTTAGGTCTGCTGTATGTCCTTTTGATTGCAGAAGATAGAACTTATTTCAAACTAACTCAGGATGCCTCATGTGGAAAAAAGGTAGGACAGTGCCAGCAGAACCAAAAACCTAGAATCAGGAGCTGGAAAGCTCCAATAAGCAGGCAGTTTGTGCTTTCTAATTCTTACTCATGAAGATTCTAGTCATACCTCTTTCTGAAAACTGGCTCTCCCTGATTTCCAGAACACAGGGTCATAAGCAAGCAGCCTGCAGATTTTGAGGTATTGGTCCCTATTCTAGCTCCCTCTCCTGAGGGACGAGGCACTGCTAGGTCTTAGATTCAAGCCTGGGTCTCATGAGAGAGAATCTGATTAGCCAGTTTAGGTCAGGTGACCATTCCCAGTCACTGGCCAGGCAGAGAAGCCCACTTAGGGAAAACATGGCTGCCAGTTGCACACACTTGTGGGAGGGTAAAAAGAATTCTAAGAAGAGGAGTTTAGAGCTGGCTGAATCCTCAAAGTTGGCTATTTTGTGTTGTATAGAAAGGCTTCTCAGCACTTATCCGCCATTGGGGAAACTGAATAGTGCATTGGGGTTACCTTAAACAAAAGTGGAGTGTTTGATTTTTTGGAAAGAATTTTGAGTTTATGATGGAAGAATTGATCTTGACTTTAAAGGAGCATATGGCTTTGGGTCTTTGAGGGCATGGTTATTTCAAATGAGAATAGAAGATTCATAGGTTCCTAAAAGGAGTGAATGAAAGCCATAAAGACATTTGACTTGAGAGTGAGGGTTGCGATTGGATGGTAAAGTATGAACCTTCTTTCGAAAGGAATTGTACACTAAATAAACAAATTTAGACTTGACATTAAGGAAATTAAAATTATTAAAATGGAAACTGGACGTGTTCTTGAGCCATATAGACTTGGGGTTGCAACTTTCCTTTCTTGTAGGTTATGACTTGGGCAAGTTCTTTAATTTCAGAATCTTAGTGTCCTCATTTAGAAAATAACAGTATTTGTACAAGCATGTAGTGGGCATGTGTCCTTTTTGTCTGTACAGTGTTCATTCTCTTTATTGATAAATGCTCCTCAGTGATACTTCAGGGAATCACTGTATGTAGTTTGGGTTAGACTGACTTCCCTTTGCAGCTCAAGGTTGAGCACATAACCTGGCCAGGGCTGCCATAGTAACTCCCTCAAGAGAGCTGCTGGAAATTGTTGTAGTTTGTATATGGTGTGAATGGGGCTTTGTTACATGTGGATCTTTGTGTACCACACAAAATTGTCCAGCTGTACAAAGCTGCTCTGACTTTGGCTAACTAGAGCATTCTACCCTCTGGCCACAGATCAGAGAAGGGAAAGGGACTCATCTAGGCCAATGGGAAGTAACCACATCACACAAGATTCTGTCTAAGAGTGATATTAATACAGGAAAAAGAGATGAGAGAAGAGAGGCATAAATTCATCACATGAGGTCCTTGATCTAACCATACCTGAAGCTGTAATATATCAAATATGTTATCTAATAATTGTCGAGAGAGATAGTACTCTGTGGATTCCTTTTGCCCTGTATATGTTGCTGAATATGCAAGGCCCTGATCAGTTTGCAGCAATCATCTGTGAGAGATGCATTGAATTTTCCCTGTTGGACAAAAAGCGAAATTTCTTATTGCTTGGTAGAAAAATGATGATTTTCACAAACTTAATGTTCCTCAGCTGCAGTGCTGACCTACTGTGTTCAAAACATCCATCTGTGTTACCCTTAAAGGACTCAGGATCAAGGAAGCTGATGGAAGTGTGTTGATGCTCATACTACTTATTGCACCATGAGTAATAAAGTCCTTGATCTCTGATCCAGAAGTTTTGTGTCTTCTGCCACTATCCATAAAGTAGTATCAGATTAGGTTATTAGCTTATGAGTAGGGTAAAATTAAGTGCCTGATCTGACAAGAATTATTTACCCATTTTGTTTCTTAGACTGGAAATATTTGAAGTTCTTTCATTTATGATGGAAAGTTCTAACCAATTGTTTCCCTTACCTGTGATCATTTCTTATTTATTCTGAGTTTTCAAGTATATGTGGTCTCATAATAGATTATTTTATTAAATGACTATTGAATTTTAATTAACATACAATAAGCTACTCATTTAAAATATATAATTAGGTACTTTTTGAAACTTCACCACAATTAAGATAATAAACAGATTACTTTTGCATTTCTCACTCATATTTAAGCTTTTTACTATGGAAATACTTAAGCAAGCATAGTAGTAGAGAAAGCAGTAAGCATCCATGACCCATCATTTATCAAAAATGCTGCCATTTTTTTTCAGTCAGCAATGGCTTTTATTAGATATCTTAGATATATACATTTCATACATGCTTTTAAAGCTTCAATTGACAATTCAAAACAAAATTCAAATATAAATCTATATATGCAGCAGTGGTTCTCAGGCACAGAATTTAGGAGGTGTTTGGAGCAAGTCTTTTCCCTGGCACACAGTGGACATTTTGAATGATGACAGTGGAACTGTCCTAGTGACCTAGTAGCCTTGACTGAATTTCATTATTGTATACAGCTTTAATGAGTGTGATACTGATAACTGGAAACAAGATTTAAAATAAACTTTATAACCTGTATTTTTTTGAAGTTTTTAAGACCTAAGTGATTACTTTTTTCCTAATCTAAGAGCTCCAAGATCATCCAATGAAAATAATACCATCCATAAACTACCTGGGACATCTATCTGCCTAAGAACCACTGCCCAAGCTTATTCAGTGTCTTCAATCCTCACCAGATGGGGTAACAGGATGATGGATTTCTTCTCCATGTCCCTGGAAAGTGATTTCCTCATATTGTAGGCATCCTTGTCTGGCTCCCCACTGGTGGCTGAGTAGTACTCTATGACCGTCCAGTGCACACTGTAGCCCAGCTGCTTGTACATGTTGACTGCAAACTGATTAGACACTCTGACGAAGAGATCAATGAAAAATCTACCTTTTCTCTCTGAAATCTCCACCAGTGACTCCATTAGCTTAGCAGCCAAACCAAGGTGCTGAAATTCAGGAGTGACAGACAGTGCTGTAACATGGCCATGCCACTCCTCACTTGTAACAGAGCCTTCTGCTTTGCCCATGATGTAACCGATTAATTTTCTGCCAGGGGCCTCCGGAAGAATGAAATACTCTGGCCAGTGGGTGAGGTACTGTAAGTAAAAAGGAATCCCATAAGTTTCTGTAAGTGGAGAATCTGGGGGAATGAGTGGCCCTGCAGGGAATTCTGAGCTGCACTGCCTGGCTGCCCTTGTGCTACTTTTATTTTTTTCTTTTTCGAGGAAGGTTGTGTCTAGGGGCTGGGAACAGGATCCAGGAGGCATGGGTAAGGGAGGTTCCCAAGACCCAGTACTTAGGAGCAGAGCCACCACCAGTGCCAAGGAGGTGAGCTGCGTGGGCACCAGCAGCACACACCCTCTCCCCTGCACTCCCCCCTTGAAGTAAGAAGACATGTAAACAAGTCTGAAAACCAGACTTCCAGATCACCTAAAGCAACCCCAAAGGGAAATGAGATGGAACAATCTGATACTCAATCACCTGGACTCTCTGAACTGGCAACAAAAGAGGATCTGGGAAAAATGAAATCAGAAA